TCCCCGCTGCGCGTGACTCGCTGCATGTTTGGTGGCTCCAGGAAGCATATATGGAGAAGTCAGCTCTACCCTCCTCCTCTCCCTCTGCAAGCAGGGTTTTCACTCAGTCACTTCAGTCCCGAAACTGAAGGCACCAGTGCTGTTCGACCCAAAGACCCATCTTCTCACATCAACAACCCAAGAAATCCTCGATTTGATTGTAGGTTTCTGGGACATTTGTACACGTTTATTTTTTTTTAAAGTTATTTCACAAAAAAAGAAGCCAACCTGTGAGTCAGGTTTGGAAGAAACACTTTTTTTCATACTGGTGTTACGTTGAGATGGTTAGCATCGCCCCACATTATCTGCCAGCAGTAAACCAGTGAAGGTGCATTGGTTTTACTACGCGTATCAGTGCTTTGTACAGAGGCTGGGAAGGATTCTTTTGTGAACCTGGCGGTGTTGATGAAAATGTTTATTTTTGCACTGCACCTTCTGCCACCCCCACGCCTGGGGTTTATAATTTCCACCTCTTTCCTCTCTGGCTGGGAGCCAGCAGCCCTGCTTCTCTCCCAGCGAGGTGGTTGCCATTGCTTGGAAGCTACAACAGGTTGTTATAGACCCCCAGTGAAGCAGGTGAGTAAAGCTTTGGTCCCGAGGTAGGAGAGTTTGACCAGAAATTAAAACCATGAATTAAAGTTACCAGTAAGAAAAAATACTGTGTATTTTTAAATGGGAAAGAAAAGCAAAAAGGGATGTTAAATTCTAGCAGGCCTAGTCAAACTGTCAAGGCTCAGAGTTATGCTGAAGTTTTAGATGAAGCATTTAATGCTGATATACAAAATTATAAATCAGCATGTTCATTTGTTACAGTTCTACGTTTAAGATCTACCCCGGAGCCTCTGCAGCAAGCGAAGGGAAATACTGCTTGCTTCGAACCTTCATTAGCACGAGATCTGTTGGAGCGGTTACCCAAAACAAGTTAATAGAGGTCCAGGGAGTTTTAGCTAACTACCAGAAAAATGTTTCAAGGATACGAAAATGTTAGTGAGATCCACCTTTTCTCAGCCAATTAAGCACATGAATAAAATCTCTTTACCCCATCCAAATACCTCTGAAGAAATCAGGTTTGACCAGTTCCTCACAGTCGGTGAACAGCAAAATTTGGTGGAGGCAAGGACAGAAAGGCTGACACTGCTCTCGCCCAAAGCGGTGTAATCACTAGGGAAGGAAACCAGCTAGGCTGCACTCGAGGGGGTGCTGCTCTGACCAGACAGAACTGGAAATGTGAGAGCCCCTTTAGAGCCACCCGAAAAGGTATCTGTGATCCTCAGCAGCTGCATTTTGCAACTCTTCCACCTGCCTGCACTTTGGAAAAAGGTGAAGCATTTAAATGCCAAGAAACCAGAATTCAAATAAATTCTGGAGTGACCGTTATCATCTTCCCCTATCTGTGGGAAGACAATAGTCTGTTTTACGGGATAGATGTGTATCACCTAATTTCCCAGAGCACAGCAATTCCCTGGGGGATCCTCTAACCCATGATGTTGGAGCTTTTCTTGGAAGCTGAAGGGAAGACAAATAACAGGGCCATCAGCCATACTTTGTGTCTGCACAGTTCTCTGCACCTCAGGATTTCAAACCACGACTAAACCACGCGTTACCACCCCCCTGGAAGAGAGGTGGGTGAGCAGAAAGGTGAAGCGACCTGTTCAGTGTTACGCAGGGCCGTGGTTTAACCCCAGCTAGCAACCAAGTACCACGCCACCAGCTTGTCTTCACGGGGCTGACCTAGCTTAGGCGTGGCGCCTGCCGAGTAGGCCGCGGAAAGAATGTCTCGGGCTGTCTCAGTAAAAATGCTGTGGGCATTGTGAGCACCTCACTGGTTCTACAGCAATCCTGCAAGGTGACGTCGATGAAGTGCTGCCACAGCCTGTGGGTGCACATGTGCAAGAGTGCAGCGTGAGCCACTTGCACTGAGAGGAGCTGTCTGCTGCTGTTTCTCAAATTGGTCTCGCTACCACGCTGAGGTCTACCTGTCCAGATTCCAGCCTCTGGGAGATAATGACTGATCCTCTCCTGTTAGAGCCTTACTCCCCACAGCTGCCTCTCCTCCTGCACAAGTACAGGATGGGTTGTCTTCATCCTCATGACTTTAACCCCACGTCTTTCAGCTTCGGGATCACAGCTCTGGCAGTGGCTTTCAGAAACTCCCTGCTAACCTTTACCACCTGTTAACTCCTTTCTCCCACAAGAATCTTTGAACACTTCTTTTGTGTCATCTATTTACGTGTGAAACAAACTGCCAGAAGAAAAAAACTGTACCACCAGACA